TGGAAGTGTGTAAAACTGCAGTTCGTCAAGTGGCCACTTGAGGCTCACTCTAAGGGTCCCATATTAAAATAAACCGGATTACAGCGTGCTAATCTTCTGCAGCTATATTGGGGGTACCTGCGAGCAGCATTAATGTGTTATTAGGGCTGCTCGCATTAAGCTAACCATTAGTGAGCTTGTCATGCTTTCTTCTAGGTCCAAAAATTCAAGATGGTGACAGCTGTAATGGTGTAGATCTAGAATCCAAAAGTCCACAAACAAAAGGGTGATGTCACTGTGGCCACATACATCTTTTATATACAGTCTATGGGCAATAAACACAAACAATCTGACAGGTTATAAACAAAACCCAGATTATCCTGATTTATGTGGAAAGCTCTGGCTTGTCTGTTCTATTCGTGTCTTCCCACTGTGACGGATTACATGCTTTCAGTATGGTTTTGATAATTTGGCTGCATCGCTGTCCAAACTGTTGGCTGATTGTTTGCCTGCTCAGGTTTCTAGCCCCTGTAAAACTTTGTTAATGTTATCATAACCACTCGAAACAACGTCCATAACTGGGAAAATAAGACCCGGCTTGTTATAAAATGGAATTACCCTTTAAAATGAGGCGTTTAGGGACCGCGTGCCTGCGTTTTGACCCGTTTGGACGACATTCATGAGAACATGTGGAGGGAAAAATGAAAACATCGTAATTAATGTGTTAACATGGCTCTTTGCATACCAAACTAGAGCCTTCTGCGAGAGATGGGCTTGAGATAAACTCCCTGACTCTAACAGCCGTCAGGTTGGACTCTGTCTGACTATTTCGGGGCCAGTTTACACAGCTGGTAAAAGTTTACGACGTGATGGATCTCGCATCCATTGTGGTTGAAATGCACATGACAAATTTAGAGTGGAATATGTCAGCCTAAACACAGGCATAAACACACACAGAGTACATTACAGATTGCATTCATGTGCGCTTGAATGCAGTTCAGATATCATATAATTCCACACCAGCGCCAACTGGATGCAAGACGTCGCCAGTGAGCGTTTTTCACTGGAATACTGTTTTGACTACCGCTCGTGCCAATTACTATAATTACGTTTAACACAGAATGTCAAATTGTTCTATATTTGGCGGCGATTTTTGCCGCCGGGCGCAGTTGGCTCATGCTCCGTTGCTCCTGGAACATGCCTGTACATAAGTGGCCTGAAACTTAACCCTTTACAGCGCTGTGACGCTCAGCCATAACACAGACTGGAGGAATGCCAGGCCGGTCCCGTTTAACAAAACAATATCTGCAGTGAGAACTTCCAGAGAGTTTTTTTTTTTTTTAAATGAAAGTGGTGTAATGGTGTACAGTGTGCTGTAATGGGAAGAGACACATTGTGTAATGTAAACACGAGTGTTTTAGTCAGGTGTGGGGCATGCGTTCACACGGAATTTATGAATGCAGTAACCAATGCAGTAAAAGTCCAGAATACACACCCAAACGCACACGCGCACACACCCCTGCTTGCTTCACAGCATCGGCACTCTGCTTGACTTCCTCCTGAATTCGTCACCGCCACAGTGCGTGTTTCACAATCGGCTCGTTTAGCTCGCCTTTGTCTTAATCAGTGTTTTCCCATTAGAGGAATCACTGCAGTGGGAATGCCATCCAGGAGCAGAAACGTAGCCCACCTTGTATTTTGCCTGTTCAGTTCAGACGGTTGATTCATCCATCTCTGTCAGCTGTCTCTTAATCACCGGGGGGTTTTCCCTCCGACAGGTAAGCCGCTCAGAAACAACGGCGTCTTGTCAAAGACTGCGAGGCGGTGAGGAGTTGTTACTCATGAGCTATTTTTGGGGGGTTTGGATGTCTGCTATTGTTGAAGAAATGTGAAAAATGTGCAGGTGATTGGGATTACTCGGGCTGTCTGGTGTATCAGCTTCTTTATTGGGTCCCACAGCCCCACATTAGGTGTGCTGTGAAGACAAAACAGTCGGGAACAAGACTTTGACAGGAACTTTCCTCCTGAGCTGCACACCTAAGGTTTTGTAAGATGATGCAATTCATTTATTAGGTTTGGTTTTTTTGACTCGTTACTGTCTTTTTTAAGTAAGTTAATTATTTTCAAGTATTTTTTAAAGCAACTATCATATCAGCACTGTAACAAAAAATAATTTCCCCCAGGGATCAATAAAGTATTCTGATTCTGATTCTGATTGATTCTGATATTTACCTCCTAGCAGACCTGGCTTTCAAGCCGGTCTGCAGAAACATTAATAAGTGGGTGATAACACATCATGCGCCTCTAGTAATGCATGTAGAGTACTATATTTACAACAATAATGACTTGAACAGATTCACTCAGAGGCTACGCTGCCAAAGGAGGCTTTTTGATCCCCTTACACATTTGTTGTTTTCCCAGAAATACGGATAGAAACACTTGTATACTGACAAGCCTTCAGCAAACACATTCACAGTCTGGCTTGTCCTGGAGCACCGCTTCAGTTGTTGTGGATGCCTCAGGAGGGGCTTTAAAACAGGGTTTTTTATTATCCGTGCTAGTGTGCCAAGATTTATCCCATTAAAGTCTGGAATGCCCTCACGTGGGAAATGGATTGGATGTGCACAGTCAATTTCTTTGTTCAGCTCTGTGCGTATTTGTGTGGAAGAGTTTGTTATGAGTGTGTGTGTGTCTGCCTGTAAGGCTGTAGGGTCTGGCACGAGGATGCCCAGCTTTTTTTTCTTTTCTTTTTTTTGTTTCCTCTGAGCTATTTTTGTCTGGATAGAACCGCGAACTCTGTTTTGCGTAGTTAGCCGACGACCTCGCCTCTTCCATGTGTGTGTCTGCTGGTTTGCTTGCAGGTGTGTGTGGGTTCTGCCGAAGTTGGAGATAGATGGAGGGCAGAAGTGTTGGTTTCTTGTATAGTGAGCTGATATTGATCTTGGATATCTGATACCAACCACTTAGTAAACAAGAAATGATTAGCTAAGTCGAGGAATTTGATTTGCCCAGTAGAGAGCTTGAGTGTCCTCTGATGATGATAAATTTGATTTTGCAGCTGAGGGGAGGCTTCTCTTTCCATTTTCATCACAGCCTTTAGGCACGAATAGAGGGAGTGAGTCTTAGGTGTGAAGACAGTGGTTGATGTTTTTGTAAGATAAAAGTAAGATGAAAGATGGAAACAAAACAAGAATCGCTCTAAATAAAAGGATAACTAAGTGGTTTCAGGTTTGTGAGGTATGATATCCTATTGGAGGAATATCAGGATTGATTGTCTGGCAGCTGGACGTCTTTATGTTGAAGATGTTTCATCTCTCATCCAACAAAAGTCGACTTAAGGCGCTTTACATTGTAAGGTAAAGACTCCACAATAATACAGAGAAAACCCCAACTATGAATCCCCCTATAAACAACAACCTGGAGAGACTGGGGAGGAAAAACTCCTTTTTAACAGGAAGAAACCTCAGGCAAAACAAGACTTAGCCATCTGCCTCGACTGGTTGGGGATGAGGAGAGGGAGACAGGGCAAAAGACAAGTACCCATGCTGGGTGTCCCTTAGTGTATTAATAGCTAACTGTAGCAGAATGTACCGCGACCGTGGCTCAGGGGTTTGGGAATCGCATCTGTAACCGGAAGGTCGCCGGTTTGATCCCTGGGCTCTCTGTCCTGGTCGTTGTGTCCTTGGGCAAGACACTTTACCCTACTTGCCTACTGGTGTTGGCCAGAGGGGCCGATATGGCAGCCTTGCTTCTGTTAGTCTGCCCCAGGGCAGCTGTGGCTACAACTGTAGCTGCCTCCACCAGTGTGTGAATGAATAGTGGTATTGTAAAGCGCTTTGGGTGCCTTGAAAAGCGCTAATAAAATCCAATCTATTATTAACTTGGTGACATTTTCACTAAAAGTTTTGACGTGTAAAAAAAATCCAAGTGGTCCCGGGATTGATCCTTGAGGTACACCTTTGGTATGCTTGGAAAATTATTAGTGGTTGCCTGGTGACTGCATTGGATTTTTGTTTGGTTGCAGCCAGTTGCAACAACCAGCTTATTAGAGGTTGAGCCTGTAATAGCCTCAACGTCTGGGTGACCAGCTTTGATCTCAAGGTGATTTCACAGGTCGTCTGGTGTGAGGCAACCAGCCTCAAACTACTTTGGTCTGACTCAAATTGATTGCTGTTGCATTGCAATCAACCTGAGTCACTCTGTGATGCGTCTCCTTGCAATATTAACAAATGCAAGAATTTCAAAGGCAATGAGATTGCAAGTCCGTTCCACATAGTCAAAATAATGTAAGCTGTGCCACTGTTTTCTTTCACTGCCTTTTTTAAAGTGACTGTTGTATTAAAAGCTAGAAGCTAAATGCTAATTTATGCATTTAATTTATGCGTTTCATTTGGACAAATGTTTTGTCACTCATCCAAGTAACCTTTTCAGTCTAAAGACTTTCAAAATCAACTTCATGTGATTTACTTACCTGGATGATTATTGAGGTATGCGTTGAGCATGCATTAAGGTATTTAGCACCTAAACCTAACCAGTGAAAGAAGTGAGGATAAAAAGAGAGGGAAAAATTTAATTAATGTTCAAGGTCCAAAGAAAACGGAACGAATGGGATCCTGGTTGGAAACCCAACATCCTCCTCTTCCCTATCTTCTGTTGTGATCTTTTGAGGACTCTTTCCAGCTGTCTGGAAACCACGAATGTAGTGCTGGCACCAAGGCCAAAGAGCTACCTTGTGGATAATGGAGACATGCAGGTGGCCTCTCATAAAATTGCATTATCAAAAACTCTGGGACAAGAATGGTTTGCATTTTCTAAGACATACTAGAGTCCCACATGCATAGCACTTACATGATCAGTGGACTAGTAGAGAATGAATATGTTTTTGGGTACTTCTTGATTTGCCACTTTGTTAGCACTCAGACCTGGCACACTGAGCTGCTGATTGACCACACACTGACTCATTCTTATTTTCCTTCCCCCCTCTCTCTCTCTCCCCTCCATCTCCTGTTTCTTTGGTTTAGGGAAAAGCTGGCTGTGGCTCGCCTGCAGAGGGAAGTCGCACGGAGCAAGAGCGAAGGAACAATGGTAAAGTACAGTGGAAGTGCTTGGCCCTATCATCTTCACGAAGCCAGAAAAGCCACAGTATGTTCACTCCACGTACATACCCACACAGAAACCGTCAGGCTCTGCCAAAACTGTTGTGTTGGCTGAGTGTCTCGACACCTCATCAGAAGCTCTTGAAGGCAGTAATCCTGTAGAAATGCATGTGTAGGCAATAATAGAAGCAAGTACAAAAATACTGTGTTATGTGACAGTTGCCTGTTTGTGGAAAAAGCAGTGCGTTGCATAAATTTGACCTTTTCTGCACAAACTACAGGTACTTGAATGCACTGCCAGGCTCTGTGACCGTAGAATGCTGCACACTGCATCGTGTCTCTGGTAGAAAGTGCTGATGTGCCGTTCTTTTATGAGTTCTGGAGGTGGTCATTAGCATACATATGCGCTCAAAGCAGCGTATATGTTTGTGTCTGCGTTTCCACAAGTGTGTCTGAATGCATTTATAGAGTGTGTGTTTGTAAGCGAGGTCAGGAAGCGAGAAGAACCGGGTGATGAAGCGGGGCTCAGCTGATTGCAGCCTCTGAGCAGACGCTTTAACCACAGGCCCAGCTGTTTCACTGCACCCCAGTGACGCCTCTGATTCTGTGTGGCAGCAGGCCTAAAGCTACAGCACACAAGGGCCGACACGCTCCGAGATCTCCTCACCGCTGCGTGTGATTATTGATCCCCAAAGGAGGAATGCTCTATTTTTTCTTCATACCTCTTCAGAGTTGTAGAGGTCAGAGCACAGGGTCAGATACTGAGCAGAGCTCCCTCCTTGGAGATGGGCAGGGGTTTGGCATGTTGCTCAAGGGCATTTTAGCACAGTAGACACTGAATTTATTGGCTGTACCAGATGTGTAGCTAAGTTTGTGCTTCGGCTCGTAAATATAGACACTAAAAGAGCACAGACAAAGACCGGCTTTACCTCTAGGACTTGTTGATGTCAGCAGATGTCAGAGGAAATCACGCCGGAGTCAGCCAGCGCTTACTTTCTGACCTCTGGTTGACTCCAAACTGTCGCCCCCAAGCATGGCCCAGTGTGTGAAACAAGAAGGTTCATTATTGATTTTGAAAAAGGTTCAGCATTGATGGGTTGACATACTGTTGATGAATGGAATATGAACCTGACCATCACTGTTCCTTATAGGCTAGTTGTTTAAGTTGTGTCCAGTGTGTTGTGAAATGAAAATGTATATGTAGATGAAACTGATTTGGTGTTAGACCTCAATATTAAGCTATTCAAAAAATTAATTCACTGTGTATGTGTTTGGGTTGTCAGTTTTGGGATTGAAATATTAAAGAAAACAAATGAAACTGAGACTTTTCAAAGTTGCTGGGAAAGAAGTTTTTCCTGCAAGTTTGCGTGATCATATTTTTGTGATGATATTTGGGCGACGTGGTCCAAAACAGCCGTCCTTTTTAAGATACATTTGGGCCAGATCTGACAGACTAAACAGCCCAAAATCAAGTTAGTGTTTGTTGAAGAATAAAAGGGCCATGGACACTTGGTGATTGGTGGTATTTCCCTTTAAAATCAAATTTTGTACAAACCCAAAAGATCTTTGTTTCAACCACAGAATGTCTGTAACAGGCTGAAGTAGCCACTTTGAAGTTTGTGGGTTACTGTGTTGAAGCCTCTTGTTTAGTTGTTTGGTCACTGATATCCTACGCTACAGTTACAGTAGGGAACAAAACAGTAACTGGAGATCTCAGTGTGGCCAAAATGAGTGAGACTGTGTAAGATCACCACTCATAGTCAGATGAGATCTTCAAAGTGATTTGAAGGCGATAAAAAAGTCAGTCTGCTCTCAGTTTGCAGTTGAATGGGGTCAAATTGACAATGAGATGCAATCTGTTTGTGATAATACAGTGACCGAGTGTGATAAATTATCAAAAATGATAAATCTGCTTACGTTCAGACCCGAGCCACAGATATGAAACAGAAATTCTTCCACAAACAGCCACGTAGCTGCTGCAAGAGGGTGATTTAACTGCAAAATTACATTGGTGCTCGATAACCTTGCTTTTATATAGGAATGTACCCAGAAAACAACCAGTTGTTTGAGTTACATTCTGAGTTCCTACAAACTTCTAATCCGATGGTCACATTGTCCTGTGGTTGATTCATTTTATGCCATGAACACAGTTTTCTTGGAGACCCACATTCTGGTCCACCAAACCAAATGCCAGCCATAAGCAGGAGATGTGTTGATGCACGCTCAGTCATCAAGGCGAAGAAGTCCCAGAAAGCGGAATCTGTTCATCTGGATGTTGTGTTTTCAGTGGGAAAGCTCTGAAGCCTCCCAGGAATACCAGTGAGAAAGTCAAAGGGAGTCCATTTGGATGTTGCGTTGGACATCCCCACTGAAAACACATCATTCAGATGAACAGATTCAGCTTTCTGGGGCACAAGTAGGAGAGTTCATGTGGACCACACCAGCAGAGGTTGGTTGCAGTTGCCCCCCACTTTTTCCTTTCTTTTACCTGCGTGCGCTCACACCAAAGTGACAACACGTTTGCGTGTCAACACCTCCTCCTCTAACAGTAACCCAGCTTCCTCTGACCTCAGTGCAGCCCAACCAAAATATATCTTTCGCCATGCCGCGAGCCTCCCCAGAAGGCCCGGCTCTCCAACTGACACGACTGGATGACATGCTAATTATTACTTTAGAGGGCGACGTGAGTTACTGTCTGCGCATGCACAGTGTTGAGAGAAGGATGAGTTATCTGTGCCAGACAGGAGGAGGGTGAGGGAGGGGGGTATGGAGGAAGAAAGGGAGGAGGGGGATATCACTAAGCTCCATTTGAAATTGGGATTATCCCCATTGGATTCCCCTTCCACTCTCTCTCTGGCATTCCTGGGAGGCTTCGGAGCTCAGGCGAGGTTCTTCAATAGGAGTGAAAAAAGAGGCTGCTGCGTAAAGGAGATAATTGTCAAAGTGCTGCCAGAGTGAAGTGGAAACTGCAAACCACCCCCAGCCTGCGTCCAGTCATAGACCCCCAAAACCCATCGCCTTCTTCCCCAACATCCCCCACATCTTCGCCTGCAAGGGGATGAACCGATAGAGTCAGATTAAAACAGCGCAGACTTTTGAAGTGGCACTACCCCGCCTCTCTTTAGCAGCCTATGATCGCTGCCTCGATCTGATCGCATAAGGCGATCAGAGATGCCGCGAGAGTGTGCGGCAGTGTTTTTGCAGCGCCATCACGACTGCATTGTGTAGGAAAAAGAAAGGGAAGGGTATCTTTATGATCGTGCAGGGCGCTAGGAAACATCGCCACAATCGTAAGCCTCGGGTTGCGCATGTGAAACAGCACTAACTGCACAGTTTACTGAGGAGTGTGTGCTTTAATTCGGCGTCCCGCCGCGAAGCACGCATACTGCTGGCAGCTTGAAGCTGCACAACTCTTGTTATGGATCGTTTGGGAGAATCACATGAAACCTTTTTAAATAATTTGCAGGGCAATCAGTAATTAGGCCTGCGCTGCATTTCACCACATATATGACCACACAAGATGCGTTTTGTTATTAGTGAAAATGATCCGCCTGTCTTACGCCTCTCACTGCTTCTTAAACTTCACATCAAGGCTCGGACGTGCTGCTTTTGGCCCACTCTGCTGAAACTCCTGCTAGAAAAACAGCAGGTTTCCCTTTAGGTGTTTGACAAAGCACAGGTCGGGGTTTATACTGCGAGAGTCTCGGCCTCTTTCCAGCAAGCTTGCTCCCGTTTGTTCACGGCCTCGTCGCTGCTGTAGGTTTTCCCTGGAATTCTTCCCGATCCCAGAGGCGTGGTGTGGTGCCGGGCAGGGCAGGGCAGAGCTGCTCTCTGTCTCCCACTTTTCTTTTGATGCCACTCCGAAGTGCAGTCTAAGTCCATCAGGGGCAGGATGCCGAGGTTTCCTGTCAGGGGCAGAGAACACAAGTCTGCGTGTAGGCTTGTAAAGGCGGCGCTGCCTGCTCTGTGGGCTGAGGGGGCGGAGGGGGGCTGGGCTCGCCATTAAAAAGGCATTTAAAGCTGTTAGGTGAGATTATGACCGCTGGAAACGGCTGTCTAAACAACATGTGAAAATAAATGATCTGGCTTTGAGAACAACTAGCTTTATTTTTCTTTGGGTTTTGTGGATGCTCTGTGATATCCGAGCCTCGCCTCGTGCATACCCACACATTGCCGTTTCCATGGGCGCTCGGGCTGATTGCGGCGTTTGATTCTTTCACGGTTGAGCGAAGCATACATGCAAGTGATAAAAGGGAATTGTTTTTTTTATTTGCCTCAACTCCTCGGCTTAATTGAGCAACTTGCTCATTTAAAAATCTGATTTCTCCGGAGCATTTCATGTAGAAAATGAAGTTAAGATAAAGGAGGAGGACGATGGGGGAGGCGCTGCGTTTGTGAATATAAAGTGAGAGCACAGCATGGTTAAATAAGCCTCCAAGCCACGATAGGAATCAGCTATTTCTGTACATGAAAATGGATTTTGCGTGTGCTGCAATCTTCAAGAGTGTGTGACATAGTTTGTAACGCCACATCAAGTAACATTTGCGGTTCTCTGATGAGGGAATGCCCCTTTTTTAACAGGTCGTTTCACCCGAATCTATCTTGTTGCTACTTCAGCTTCAGGATTTCATTCAATAATTCAACATAGTCACTGAAGAAGCAGCCCTGGATAGCTCTGCAGTATGTCTGTGTTGGACTTTTACAAACATTTACACACTTTTATAGCTGGTATCAAGATTCTAAGCTAAAGCATGACTTGGGGTAGGCTTTAATTGGTACTGATAGAGGAGGTGTCAGATATTCCAGGAAATATCTGACTTAAATAATCCACCTACTCGTCGAGAGGTCGGTGGGTTCATCCCCTTGCTCTTTTCACCTACATGTTGAAGTATCCTTGGGCAAGATATCGAACCCAGAGTTGCTAAGAAAAGCAGCACTCCAGACAAGGGGTGGTTAAGAGTGAGGACCCAACATCAATGGTAAATAATTTTTATACAGTGCTTTTTAATGCATTTCTTATATTACACAGGATGCATCAAAGAGCAA